GGGGCGGACGGCCGCCGTCTAATATCTGGTCGCTCGGGCGGGCAAACTAAGGAAGAGATGGACTCTGGCTTGGGACTAACCTGACGCAGGCCCCGTCGACCAATCTCGTCGGCATCCGGGAAACGAGGGGCGTGAAGGTCTCACGTGGACCTTGCTTTACGGGATACAGCAGCAATGTCACCTCAGTCCCTTGTTACTTTCCCTTCCCTGGCCCTGCGTGCTCCGTAAGACTTCCGCGTGAGGAAAGTAATCCCATTTTTGGACTCGGAGACGGCACTCATTGTACCGTTGACCTGACCTCATTCCAGCGGCCGAATCTTTGCACCCTGCGCCCCGGCCTTTCCCTCTTCAGCCATCGCGGATCCCGCCCTCGACTCGCCACTGTGCATTCCCATTCTCGCGCTGCGTTCCCAATCGCCCTTTCTCATCCATACGGGGCCAATGCTGCCGCCATTCTGAGGCAAGCCCGACCGTAACACCACATAGTCTCGCAACAGTTATCAATTTCACACCTGACAATATTGCCTGATATAAACGTATACACTCCCTTCCACGTCAAAAGACGACCGGGCACACAGCAAGACGCTACCAAGTCCCACACAGCAACGGCATCATACGCTCACCTGGCCCAAAGGTAGTTAGGTAGGTACATGGCCGACTTGATGTCGCACGAGCCAACACATCGTTCGAGTGTTTGACTCGCCCACTTACTACCTTCCCCTTCGCACCCTCTTCCCCGCGACACGGCTCGCTCATCTCATTCACTTCGTACCTACCTTATTGGAGGGTGGCCGACGGACGAGAGGGGAACAAATGAGATAAGCAGGAACCGTGAGGAGAAGGCCGGTAAACGCAAACTCGACGCAACGCAACGCAACGCAACCACGCAAGCTCCCCAAGTCGTCATCTGGGTTGTTATGCCAAGTCAGGTACGTATTCCTTCGTTTTCCCACCACACCCTCTTGTGAGAACGGGCAGCCGTCCGTCGAGGAAGACCAGCATCAGCAGCACTGCCCTTCAACCAGTGTATTCTGCCAAAGTGCCCTTGGCTCTCTTTGTCTAGGCACTGAGGAAGAGGAGGGGCGAGAGAGGGACGGTTACAGTTGGGATGGACCGACCGGGGGCGTTGACCTGCATCGATCATTAGGGGTTTGTGCTCCTGCAGCGGCCCTAGTGGGTTAGTCTGGTTCGTCTCGGTGCCTCCTCGACTTGCCTACTCGGATCTCAAATATGTGCCAGGCACGTTGGTGTTGCTGGTTGGACTCTTGAGTCTGAAGGTGTGGTGCAGGCAGGTGTGTTGAATGTCCATGGGGCCCGGCAAGTCCCTGCCACCCCTGTCCAGCCCACCACGGGTTGCGAGGTGCAATGAGCATGGCGCCGCTGCATCAGCCGGTCGTTGATTGGCCCCGGTCGAGACCAGCTGCAGGCCGTTAAGCTCGCAAAAACCCGCTTCGGGGCTTGGGTCCCTCCAAACCTTCTCTCCTACAATTCCTCCCGTCGAGTTCCCTGACCTGACAGCCCAGCACTCTCGCTCTGTCTGCACTGCAGCACTCTAGCACTCTAGCACTCCAGCACCACCACCACCACCACCACCGACGAAGCGCTTTTCCCCTCGGGCTCTTTCTCCCACCTGTCTCTTCCTCCTCCTTTCGCCTCACATAAGCACCACAAGCGAAAGTACGAATTTCCCCCTCTAGCCAGCCTCTCTTTACACGAGTTGTTTATTTCGTTTTATTTCCTATTTGATTTTTCAGCTGGTCTCGCCTTCGTTCGGGTTCCTACGCACCGAAGCGTCTTCAAACTGCCCCAGCTGACGTCTGTCTGTCTTTCGCCAGAACCGCAGAGCGCTGACCACACGGAACTTGCCTCCTTCCCACTTTTCTCCCTCTTCCCACTCTTCAGCAACTTTGCCCAGCTGTAGTGCGTTTGTGCACCCCCCAACTCTCTTGCCGCCTCAGCACCACCACAGAAGGGCCCTCAACTCGGCACCTTTTTTTGTTTTGCCGCCTACAACCAGCAACAAGGCAACAGGACGCTGCATACAAAACCACAGCAGTTCAGACAGAAAGGCGACTGTGGATCCTTGTGCACTTCAAGGGCCATCCTTTGGCTATCATTCACGACAATTTTTTATGAATTCACCACTCTGGAAGCGATACTATCACTGTTGCCACAATGACTGAACCGGATCAGTGCATCATATGCCTGGAGTCGCTGCAGCACCCCTCGTCCCAGCCAGACAGTGCAAACGGAGCGGGACCAGCAGCGTCCGCAACTACACAGGCCGTCTACCGTACCATCGACTCAGACATTGAAATCCTCGAGGACCAAGAGTCCAACTTCATTGCTACTCTGGTTGGCTGCAACCATGTTGTCCACGATCAGTGCATCAGGAGTTGGGCCAAGAACTCAAACACTTGCCCTATTTGCCGGACGCCCTTTAATGAGGTCAGTCTATCATCTGAGCTCAATGGTACGTATCGAAACATCCTGCTCGACAACCCGACAGCAACAGCAGAGGCTAACACTTTCCTCCCCCCTCAGGCCCTCCTATCGATTCGTACGCCGTCCAGGACAAGAAGCAAGAGCAAGAGTTCGACATTCACAGGTGGCTGGAGGAGAACCCTGAAGACGAAGCCTCGGAGCCAAGTCCCGCCTGCCCCATTTGCGAGTCTTCGGACCACGAAGAAGTGCTGCTCCTCTGCGACGGTTGCAATGCCGCCTACCACACGCACTGCATCGGGCTGTCCGGTGTTCCACAGACCGAGTACTGGTACTGCTTCGAGTGTGCCGAGAATCACGCAGGTCGGTCCAGCTCGAGCGAGACTTCGGATGTCGAAGTGCAGGCGCAGCGGCAGCCTATTACGCAGGCTGCTCGCTCAGCAGCCAACCGGCGAAACGTCGTTGCCCGACGAGGCTTCTTGCGTACTCAGTTGCAAGCCAGGAACGCGCGGCGCGAAGCGAGATCTCTCGAATGGCAAGGCGCATGGGATCGGATTGCGAGCCGCATCTACGACGCTACCGATATCGACCTCGACAATGACGAAGATGAGGATCTCTTCCAGGGTTTCCGTCGTGCCCAGGCACAGAGAGAGCAGATCCGTGAGATCCAAGAGCACCAGGACTGGCAGCAGCGCATGAACATCGCCAGCCGCCTAGGCGCCAGAGACATTTTCGTACAGAACATCCGCCCGGCCGTGGGTCACCGTTTGGATGGCGCACCCGTCGAGCCGGTCGCCCAACCTGCTCTACCACCTCCCGAGACACGAGAGGAACAGCAGGCCTGGGGAGCCCTTGACAGAGCTCGCGAAGCAGAGACTACCCCCAACACCCGCAAGCGAAAGACAAGGTCCGTCACGGCCTCTCCTCAGGAACCCGCTCAAGAGCCCGAGCGCAAGCTCAAGCGACCTCGCACCCGCCGACTGCCTTTGCACGGAGAAGCTTCAGGGTCCGCTTCTGCTTCAACTTCGGGTTCTGGCTCTGCCTCTGCGTCCAACTCGGCTTCCGCTTCTGCACCTGCGGCCGCATCGTCGCCCGCGGCGACGACCGTACTGGTCTCGAGGCCTCAGACGAACGGCGCCACCCAACATGTCCAGTCTCCGGTCAGTGCTGAGCCTGGCCCATCTTTCCTGTCGTCGTTACTCAAGGAGGTGGAGATGAGCACTCCGTCAGACGATGAGACGGTGCGGAATTATTTCGGCACCCATTCCGGTGCCGACCCCTCGTCACCGGCGGCATCCCCCTCCTCATCATCACGCAACTCTCCGCGGGCGCTATCCCTCACACCGCCGCCACACTCCCGACCTACCTCGCCTACGTTGTCTTTGAGCTCGTATGTGGAGCCGAGGTTTCCTAAAGCCAACTACTCGCCCACTCGAAACACGGGTGACAGCAGCGACTCCGATAGTCGTTCGAACGGCGCCGAAATCCGCCAGCCTCGACCGCAGCGGCCAAACCGGCAGCGACCCAACTTTTCCCGGTCGCAAGACTCGTCCCCCACACGCCCGCCGGCCATTCCCTTCGAAACGAAGGAGAAAATCAGCGGCATCGTCCGGGCCGCTCTCAAGCCTCATTGGCGCGCACAAGAGCTCACATCGGAGCAGTACGCAAATATCAATCGGGACGTCTCTCGAAAGTTATACGAGGGTCTTCGCGATCCCCAAAGTTTGGACGAAGACGCCAAGAAAGCATGGGAAAAGATCGCTTCCAAGGAGGTGGCTCGTGCAGTGGAGGAACTGAAGGCTTGATTGGCAGCACACACGGCATGGCGTTTTGTTTTTGGTGTTTGGCAGCGAACCAAGCGGTTTGATACCCGACACTCCAACCAGGGGAGGCTTCTTTGAAATTTTACGGCAATCAATTATCTTTCTGGATAGGAAAGACGCATTTGTAACTAGGGAGGTTCGATCTGCTCGAAATAGCGAGTGCTCCCTCAACACCATATTACGGCTTGAATTAAGGCCGAAGACGAAGCTTCTTGTACTGTAGATAGACGACGACGATACGACGAATGGACATACGACTCTTCATTTCAAATTGCAGGGACTGCGAGATCGGACCGTGGCCGGTTCTGCATGGGTGCTGTCAGTGGCATCAGACACACCCACGGAGATAGAATGACGGCGTGAGGCGTACAAGAGCAACGAGATGTCCTCAGCGGAATGCCGAGCATTCTCTCTCGGTCTTGGCGACGCAGCAGCAAGGGCCAGCGACCCATTGATCAGTCATGAGTGGCTGAATATATGTTTGCAGTAACTATCTAACAGTATAACCCAGTAAGAAATGCAGGTGCTGCTAGCGAAAAAAGACTGCTCTTTACTCTGGGCACCGGATAAATGATCAGGACGTTCTGGAGGCGGAACAGGTCTTGACGATAAGGAATTGGTGCCGTAGTGAGAAAAAAAGAAGAAGAGGAAGAGAAGCTGCGGGTCGGTGCAAAGATGATAAAGGCTCTGCAACGAGTGCCCCATTGCTTACGTGATGCAAGCCCGCCGGCGCTTCTCAGACGCCAAGTTAACCCGGTACCTCTCGAAGCTGAGCCACTAGCGTCTGCGGTCTTAGGTAAGCGATGCCAGAACACGGCGGTACGTACCTCGACCGAGCTTCGCAGCAAAAAAGTTCAATCCGAGATCTCGACTGGTGTGTCAATGAGGAGACTCAGTACACCTAACCATTCACCATGACGGCCGCCAGCAGAGGCGCAATCGCCGCCCTCGGGCGTATACGACGTGAGAGCCTTTTCGCCGTTGTAATCCCAGAGTAACTGACTAATTGATACGGGCAGCCACCCCTAGAGTCTGCCGACAATGCGCGAGGGTCCAGATCCGAGCTCCAGCTCCCTCACGGGCATACTCGGGCGCCGCTGCCGCTGCCTCGACAACGACGACGACCACGGCGCCTCCTCCAAACGTCGGCATTCCTCCTGAGCCCAAGGCGACGCGTCAGACGGGTTCCAACTACCATATCAAGGCCGGCGTGATCCTGACGCGGGCGCCGCTCCTCACGCGACCTCTGACGGCCTTCGAGCAGGCCTACTTCTTCTACCAGAAGCGGCTTAACGAGCGCCTGTCACTGCCATTCATCACGTCCGTCTACTTCAAGCCCGATACCCCGGCGCTAATCGATTGGAACATGAAGGTCAAGGACCGTCAGGGCACCGTGGCAAAGGAGCTCGGCGTGTACAACGGCAAGGCCTCGCGGGCGTGGGATGACGAGCTGATGGTCGGCGACGAGCTGAGCAGCCACGACACGACCGTCGACCTACTGTTGAAGGACTCCGTCATGCGCGTGAGTGACGACGCCGAGATCATCCCCGAGGAGGACCGGGCACCTCCCGAGGCCCTCGCGCCGCGAGTGTCGGAAGCGGACCATAAGCGCGACACGACAAGGCTGGACCGCGCCATGGACCGCACTCTGTACCTGGTCGTCAAGAAGATCTCCAAGGACGGTGCCAAGTGGGAGTTCCCCGCGGCGGGAATGTCCACGGAGGAGAACCTCCACGAGGTGAGTTTGGATACCCTTTCTCCTGACCCCCTTTACCAGGTTACAATGTCGTGACAAACAAATCGTGCTGACTGAGGAACGCAGGCTGCGCAGAGGATTCTTGACGAGACGGCGGGTGTCAACATGAACACGTGGATGGTCGGTCGCGTGCCGGTCGCCGCCTACGTGAAGAAGCCTGCGACCACCGAAGACAAGGGGCAAAAAACGTTCTTCCTCAAAGTCCGCATCATGGCGGGCCAGGCGGATCTGTCGGCCAATAAGCACCAGTACAAGGAGTTCAAGTGGTTGACGCGGGAGGAGCTCCAGGAGGTGCTGGAGCCTGGGTACTACCGCAGTGTACGAAACATGATGGCGGACCGGTAAAGACGGTTGGGGGAAGGGGCTTTGGCTTTCGACTGGTCCGACCCGCATCCAAGGAAGGGCAAAAGCAAGAAAAGGGATGTAACGCTGTTGTATCATAGATAAACTGTACAATCAAATCTTCACTGGACGATGTCGGCCGGTCTGGGCTCGACGTTCTTGCTTTCGGCTCCGGCTGCCCTTGGCTCCATTGGGGCCGGAAGCGGTCAAAGCGGCACGCTCTTCTTGAAGCTGTACTCTGGGTTCTGGTGCCAATACGCATTCTGTTCCGCAGCGGCATGCCGATTCGGCGTCCGGTGATGACGGTAGTCAAGATCATAATGCCACCTGAGCAGGTACATGGGCGAGCGGTGGCAGCAGAGATTCTCACAGTGTGTTTCATGACTATCCTGTTTCCATCGGTTTCTAGTACTTCATCAAAGCATTTTCGTGTTTTCGGCCTAATTCTCCTAGCATATGGATTTCTCATTCTTATATGTGTCCCACACACTGGTAGGCTAAGAATACAAGTCTGATGCTCGAGCTCGAACCTCGAAGAAAGCATGGCATTCGGTAGGTGTTCATCTGAATGTCGGCATAACGCTCCTTCCGTCGAGGATTTATTGCCCTGCTTCTCTTTCTAGGTACGGGGGTTTTTCGTCAACCACATCAGGTTACTTCGTCAAAGGCGCGATGGCTCCCGTCCAAGCAATGAATGTCACCATGAAGAACTCCTGGCGGCAGCTGCTCCGGGTATTACTGTCTATCGCCACTTCGCAATTCGTCCCCATCAACCTTAAGATGACCGGAATCACAGACAAGGGTTCGGAGGAGAGGTATAAAAAACCTAGAAGGCAATAAGTCTACGAAGCCGCGAAGAAGATAGCCTCCACCTTCAACACGTCTTTGGCCAAGACATCACTTGTATCATGGTCCAATCAGGTCGGCAATCCCCCTCTCTCCCCCCACCCCGCGACGTCGCATCTATCAGTCCGACACCTTCGTGGATGGCTCATGCAGTGTCCAGTCCTACAGCTTTACCGTCAGCCCTTACTTACATGCAGACACTCAAGATGACGAGATGTTCGTCCGGGATCTCGACAGACGACTGTGTGTAACGTATTACACCCCCAAGTTTTTAAGAAAAAGGGGTGTCCGGATGAAGAAACCCTACGAAGACTGCGTCCCGTATCTCAGCCACCAGGACGTCCGCATGGCCACCCAGCGAATGGAGAAGAAAATGTCGCCTCGGAAAGAGAGAGACCACCCTTACAACGAGGAGGACGATGGACTACATTGTTTCAGTGCATATGTTTAGGACACGGTCTACGGCTGGCTGGCGGGTTCCAACATGAAGGTAAGTGCCCCCCTAGTCGAGACCTATACCATGTCTGTCACAGAAATACCTGCTCATTGGTCTCCTCCGACCTGAATATAGGCTGACGACGATGCTTTTCGGAGATCTACGGAAATCGAGATACTCATCCCTCGTTCGGACAGCAAAAAGCAGACCAGCATCTATCATCAGATCGTCCGCAGACAGGTCCAAGTCCTTGTTCCGTACATGAGGTGCCGTATTTGGAATTATGGTGCCAATGTGATCATCTACTCAGTGGGTGACGAAAAAGACAATGAGATTGGTTTTATGTCAGCGGACGAGGTTGACGAAGTTGTGACAGCTTCTTACGGCTCTTAGAAACGCAAGTCCCTACGAGATCGGCTCTCGATCTTGTAGCGCAAGTACTCAGGTGAGGACAGCCCGCGTGGAGATGTTGCCAGAGGCTGACCACTTTGAGGACCAGAGAACATCTAGCCCCAGTTGGCCGGAGCCGGCGGGTGCCGACAACACGGGAGTTAGTCAACTCGAATTGAACGGCCTAGTATTCGCCTTGATCCGAAATATGACGCGGATCGCACCACACAAGACGGTTTACCTTGGGGAGTGAGGCTTGGCTAAGCATGTCGAATCAGCTGTGCAGAAGGCGGGGGTGCAGAAAGCGTGTGCTCGAAGTGATGGGTCTTGCAATGTCGTCAAGGACGGGTGATCCCTGGTGGGGTTTATGAGAAGCCCCGCAAAGCAATGTATCGATAGATGACCCGAAGACATAATCGAACCGCCAAGTCGAAGCGACATGACTCCCAATACGCTGGCTGGCCCCTGGAAGCGCCAGAGAACTCAGGGCAGGAACGACGTCCTTTCTCAGGACTTTCTTCTCTGATAGGTCGGTATGAGCGAGGTGACTATATGGACGTGCAAACAGCGAGGACGGAGATGGGAAAGGGGACAAAAGTGGCACAGGGGTGATGCAAAGAGGCGACATCAGAGTTAATCAAAGGCTCCCCACGAAGGCCAGTCTCTTCAATGCTTAGCCGTAGCCATATTGGACTGTCACTGACTGCCACCCACTATGCGCTTCGGTTCAATCTGGGGAAGCAATGGGCGGAGAACCCCTGAACCGCGAGGCCGTTTGTGTAAGCCTGCAATTGACAGTCGAGAGCCGGGGGGGGCGGGGGGGAGCAATTAAAGGGGCGTCATAATAAAGTAGTTAAGAAAGCCAGCAGTTGGACGAGAGCCCCGACCCGCATGATGCGGGAGAACACGAACATTGGAAATGACAGGCTGCGAGAGAGCATGAGACGACCATCTGGATATGGTTGGTGATCTCCGGGATTGGGGAGGTCGTCGAGGGCAACCCCTGTTGCTCCGACAGGCAAGGCGCCTTTCCCGAAGCAGAAGGTCCACCCAATGGGAATGCTGCTGCTACTGCTCGCGGAGGCTAGAGGGGTACTTGACATGTGAGGCGTCCGGTGGGACGTCACTGGTACTCGCTTATCGGCTCCCCTCGTTTTGGCGGTCAGTCCGCCTGGGCCGGCGGTGCAGAGCAGAGAAACAAACCGAGGCTAAACCGGGGCCGAAAAAAAGTGTAACCCTGTCGGTGCGTTCCTGCGCATGCTGTCAGCAGAGTCCAATTGGAATTCTCCAGCAGCACAGCACCCGGCACGCGCCAACAACGACGACCACCCACCCACACCACTCCCTTACTCTCTCTCTCTCCGCAGCACCCAGGAACTCCAAATCTAACCACATGTCGCGGCTCCTGTCATAGCAAGTGGCATTTTTGCATAGGAACGCGTATGATGGCCGCCATTCTCCGCACGCCGGACACATAATAATAGACCCAGTTCTTATTTTGTCCTCATTTCCCCCCGCCTGGGCCAGTTCAATGCCGACGTACTGACAACTTGCTGCCGCCCATAATTGTCTAACTATCCACCGCCGCAGACATGTCGTCCGTCAATGGCTCCTACACGGCGACCTTGAGTCCCACGGTCGCCTCCTCCGATACCACTGCCACGTTTCCTCCGCACATGCTCGCGAGCTCTATCTCGTCTCTCTCTTCCTCGACCTCATCACGCCACAACTCCCAGATATCAAAAACCTACCGCCAGGCCTCAACTCTGTTCCTCACGCGTCGGCTGCCCGAGGCCCTATCGACCATCCTGCCACTAATCACCCCGCCGCCGGGACAGTCAGAAGACGGCGTAAACGAGCCTGCGCCCGTCGCGAGGGCGTCACGATCCACGAGGATCAAGGTCTGGAGCCTGTATTTGACGACGTTGAACGCAATCGTCGAACTGGAGCCGGACGAGGGAAAGGATGCCTTCGGGAGCCAGGAGTGGCGGTCGCTATGCTCCAAGGTTAGAGAGGGCGAGGTGTGGGAAGAAGTCGTACGCAACGGATACCACGGCGTCGAGAGCGACGTCGACTCGGATGTTGTCATCAATCTGTGAGCTCCCCTCAGCCAGGGTCTCTGCTGGAGAAAAGCTAACAAGCACGCAGCGCCACGCTCCTCTTAGCCCACGCGCGGACGCAAGAATTAAATCAGAAAAAGCTAGAGAGCTATCTTGCAGCATCTACGTCGCCAAACATGGACTTATCCAAGCGGTTCTCGGACTCACCATCACCGTCACCACGGCTGAACCGGCACCGGTCTCCCGCCAAGGCTACGAGCGGAGCGGATACGCCGAGGGACCTCAATGCGCGGGTCAAGATCCTCGAGCTGTATACGCTGCACGTGCTAATCCGCAACAATGAATGGGATTATGCCCGCGAGTTTATCAGCGTGAGCTCAGTATTGGACGACGAGCGCCGTGAAGCGTTCTTGCAAGCTCTGGAGAGCCTACAGGAAGAGCAGCAAGAACAGGAGAGGCAAGAGACGGAAGAGCGTCGCCGTCAGGAGGAGCAACTGCGGCGCGACATCGAAGAGGCGAAGCAGCTGAGGGCCGAAAACGAAGAACGAGAACGCCGGAGGTTAGAGGAAGAGAGGGCACGGAGAGAAGGGGCCGAAGGGGACTACGGCATCGAAAAGACACCCAGTAAAGCAGGCTCGAGCAAGGCGGGGTCGAGCAAGGGACGTCACGCGAGAGTGGTCTCCAACGCCTCTGGCTCTAACTCGAATTCGAAACTGCCTGTCTCCCAGGCGAAAGGAAAATCGCCAACCGCGCCAACGTTTGGGACGAGGGCTTCAATGGTTTTGTCTCGCATACGCGAGGTAATAGACCAGCTGGGGGCGTCGTTTAAGACGAATCCTATGCTGCTGATGCGGCTGGTGGCCTTCATTTTGGGGTTGGTCGTCATGTTCGGGCAGAAGAACATCCGTGAACGGATACAGCGAGTGCTTGGTAACGGTTGGAATAAGGTTAAGGCAACTGCGGGAATGGGAGTTAAGGTTAGCTACATATGATTACGACGGATACTGCTTAGCTCTGGCTTCACTGTACTATACGGATTTGGGTGAACAATGGCCGTAATTGTCCGTGGCCTCTTTTATACTAACGCAAAAAATGAAGCTTTGTCGCAACATGAAGAGAGAACATCATTTCTGGCTACTGCCAAACGAAGCCCCAGTCTTTCCTCCACAAACTGTGTGCGACAGACACTATACGCCCGAACGCCAGACAATGCAAAAGCCCATTCCCGTAAAGCTCGTAGCCGTCTGTATCCTTTTCGTCGAACCACACCGGTGCCCATACCCGGGCGACGCAGGGACTAGTACGTCGCCGTCCGATTGGTCTTTTTCTGGTAAAACAGGTCGGTCCTGGAACTGCCGAGGTTTATGATCTTGGGGCAGCCATCGCGGTCCTTCTCGAGGCGCGTGCACTCGAAGCAGTAGAAGGCGTCCGAGATGCCCTCACCGCCGCAGACGACGCACTTGTTCTGGTAGTTGCCGAAGGAGCACTCGTCGCAGATGCGAACGAGGGTCGTCGGGCGCACGTAGGAGTCGCAGACGGGGCACTTGCCGTCGCACTTATCGCAGAGGCGGCCGATGGCGATACCGGCCTGCTTGCGGCACATGACGAGATCGCTGGCAATCGGGGTTAGCTTGGTGCATGTCAATAAGAGAGGCGAGCCGACTTACGGGTGATGACGCGACATTTTTTTTTCTTTTTCTTTCTTTTGGTGATTTCTGGGAAGAAGACCTTGCAAATGGGTGGTTTGGCTGGTATGGTGCTTCAAGTCGCTGAAGTGGATAGTCGCAAGTTCTGGCACCGCGATTCTGGGAACAAGTACGCGCCGGTCAGCCTTGCCACAACTTCTCCAAGCTTCTCTTTCCATCATTGGTGCGGACCCTTGCCTGATCCGGCCGAAGCGGGGATACCTAGCGGGACCCCGTCTCTGAGTGGCTGAGCCTCGCTGACAAACCTCAGCCTTGGAGCTCGAACCGGGAGCTTTTTTGAGCTCTAGCTAGGCTCTAGCACTCATTCCTTTTACCTGTCGAATCCGAACCTCATGTCCTCGCTGCTTCATTCGATCTGATCGCATTACTAGTCGAACATACGGCTTTGCGCGACAAGAAAGAATGGTCACGGTCACAGAGTATGGCGCGCATGGCTCCCTTGGGTCAGGCGAGAAGCTTACAGAATCTAGGGCGCCTGCCAACGCCATCCAATCGGAACCAACGATCTCCGAGGCAGAGGTCACGCAGAAGCGAAAAGCATCAGTAGCCTCGAACGGCGATGAGGGTTTGTCGAAGCGACCGAGGATTGAAGAAGGCGACCACTGTGACCCACCCGCACAGGACCCATCGACGATAGACCCGAGGCCACGGGATGGGGATGCAGGCGCCAGCACAACTCGGCGCACGTCCTTATCAAAAGACGAGGAGAAGAAGCGGGGCAAGCGGTTGTTCGGAGGTCTTCTCAGCACCTTGAGCCAGACCAACAGCGGCTCCCAACACAAGAAACGCAGGGAAATAGAGCAGCGACAGCATGAGAAGGCGCAAAAGCAACGGGCGGAGGACGAGAAGCGGAGAACGGAGAAGCTCGCGAGGATAACCGAGGCGAGATGGCAGGAGCAGATCAAGTTTGACGAGAAGGCTGTACGTTGTGGTTCCCCCTCTTGCAAACCTGATACAGCAGCTGATGTCCTTCTCCCTAGATGAAAAGCCGGCATGCGGGTATGGTCGCGATGGCGCATTCTCTCAGAACAAAGGCATGGCCACCAATTGTAAGATCTTCAGCTCGCGAACACGATATCGCAGGCTAACAGCTTTTAGTACTACCGACCGTGGAAGTTTACAAAAGAGCAAGAGGATGAGATCGACGCCCAGATTCGAGAGGCCAAGGCGACCGTGGCAAGGGAGACGGAGGCTTTCAGAGAGCGCAAGGACGAGCACGAACGGCGTTACGGCCAGAGCAGGCTGCCCACGAGAGATGACCTGCCCGCGCCTACAAACATTGAAGACCTGGCGAAGACACACTCAGAACCCCCCGCAGGAGCTGCTCCGGAAATCACGGCGGTCACGCATGATGTCCTTTCTCCAAGCCATCAGCATGACGAATCTGGCGATGTTGTTGAGGATGCTGAGGACATGGTTATTTACTGATACTGGACACGGGCTTCGACGTGCTCTTTTATTCGCTTCCTCGTGCGGCCAAGTTGATCGCCGTTTATATGCTTATGACTGCCGGTCGTTGGCGACACAGGCGGGTGGTGTTCTTCAATGTGGCGAGAGTTGATCAAAAGTTGGGGGCATGATACCAAACGGAGTTCAAAGCGGCATTTACTTGCGGGGTATATCTACGACAAATTCCATACATTTGAAACCAAAGACCGATTTCGCACCATTTCCAGCCGATGGTGATTGAGGCCGGACATGGCAGTGACGTACCAGTGCTCTATCTGGTGGGACTGTTCCTTGAGAGCCCCATCTCATGCTTTTGAATTGACAAAACCCGTTCGCTTTCAAGGTTTACAGCAATTCAGTTACAGTTTGGGATCAGCAGCTTGCCTAACCCCTTATTTTTCTTTTCTTTTCTTTTTTTTTCTTTGCAGGACGCAACGGTGGTGCCTGGACCGAGGCATCTCACAACGCCGACGGGGCGCTAAGACGATTTCATCCAGGGACTACGAGCAGGGCCCCGCGCGGGTGGGTTCCTGGCCATGTTGTTCGCCAATGCTTGCGGCTCGACTCCGTCACTCGGCCAAGTGCTGCCCCTCTTCTCAGCGCAACGGTCCACTGGTCCATGGTAATTCAAAAGAAGAATGTGGTGTCGCCCGAACCTAGCACGACTATGCCGAGGCTCGGTACACCGCTCAACGCTCGAATGGCATCTATTATGGGTCTGCAAGATGATAAGCAGAGGCGAGCCGAGTGGAAGCTTACGGAGCTTCCAATGGCTCCGGGAGCCGGCCGGTTCCAATGACTACATCGTATGTAAATAACTGGGCTTAGCGATAATTTCTTCATCCAGCTGCATCATTATCCCCGCTGTAACGCTTGCTTCGGACTTCTCCTCGCCTCCGTTTGAGTTGGCGCCAGGAACAAGGGTTCCTGCTTGGCATAAATAATGTTGCCAATCCATAATACACATGTATATGCCTCGTATATTTAAGCTCGTTGCTGCCCTTCTAGCTGAGCTAGCCGCCTCGCGTTGTTGCCTTTGACAGACACATCACACAAAAACGCTCACACACCTACGCCATGGCTGTCGATAAGATTGCCCCCAACGACCCGCGCGTCGAGCGCAAGGAGGCCGAGGTCAGGGGCAAGACCTACTCCTACCTTTACAGCAAGCCCGAGGGCACCCCCAAGGGCACCGTCGTTCTCATCCACGGCTGGCCCGATATCTCATTCGGCTGGCGCTACCAGATCCCCTTTTTCCTCTCGCTGGGCTACCAGGTGGTCGCGCCTGACGGCCTGGGCTACGGCCACACGTCGTCGCCTGAGAAGCTCGAGGAGTGGTCCCTCAAAAACATGTCGGACGACATCAAGGCGCTGTCCGAGCATGTTGCGCCCGGCGAGCAGATCGTTCTCGGCGGCCACGACTGGGGCGGTGCGCTCGTCTGGCGCGTCGCCATGTGGCACCCGGACCTCATCAAGGGCGTCTTCAGCGTCTGCACGCCGTACAACGCGCCGACGGCCGCCTGGTTCGACCTCGCCGACCTCATCGCCGCCGGGCACTTGACCAACTTCAGATACCAGCTGCAGCTGCGCAGCGCCGAGGTCGAGGAGAAGCTGACGAAGCCCGAGGACATCCGCCAGTTCCTCAGGGGCATCTACGGCGGCCGGGGCCCCAACGGCGAGCTCGCCTTCGACACACAGCGCGGCGTCATCTTTGAGAACCTCGACAAGATCGGCCCCACGCCCCTGCTGTCGGAGGAGGAGGTCGACTACTACTCGGAGAACTACCAGAAGAGCGGCCTGCGCGGGCCGCTGAACTGGTACCGTACGCGCAAGATCAACTACGATGACGAGCTGCCGCTGGCGGAGAAGATGGCGGCTGAGGGCGGCGAGTACAAGGTGACGCCGCCGAGCCTGTTCATCTCCGCCAGCAAGGACGCGGCGCTGCCGCCGTCCATATCGGCGGGCATGGACAAGCACTTTACGGACCTGACGCGCGGCGAGGTGACGGCGTCGCACTGGGCGCTGTGGGAGACGCCAGGGGAGGTGAACAAGCAGATCAAGCAGTGGCTCGAGACCAAGGTCGAGAAGACGCCGACGGCGTCGCTGTGAGTTCTGGGGCTTTCGAGAGGACGCGGCCCGAGTCGCGAGATGGCATTTCGACGGACGTTTTACGGTTTTCAATGACAGACGAGAATGAAGGGATCACATGGGGAAGGGGATGAAACATAGCGAACAAATGATGAATAGCGTTGCCAATCATGGCTGTCTCTCTTCGTGATCTATACTTCTCTCGTTTTCAACTACTTAAGGAGCTCACAGTGGTTTGATGGTACGGCGTGTGATGCACTAGTTCTCGGACGTTCAACCGACCTCGAGCGCGAGCCCTAGGCTCTGACTATTTGTGGCCTTCGTAGCCCAATCTTGCTTCTCGTGCGTCGTCCTGATATATAGTGCTCTGCGACCTCTTGCTCGGCTTCTAAGGTGGGTTGCTAACCGGCTGTCTGCTTGATACCGGGCCTGTACGTCCTCAAAAGGTTGTTCACTATGTCATGTTATCCATCAAAACTGACTAAATACGTTGGGTAGGCATCGTTGACCCACCACCATCGGCGCGGCGCTGATGGCGGGTTGTTTCGGTAGTCCATGCATCTCTCGCACCCTTCACTTGAGCGTAAACTTTGGGCCAGCGACTGAGGGCGCCGCGCCCTTGGCCTTCTTGTTGGGCTTCCCGCACGACGCGCACGAGTCGGCCCTGTAGGCGCAAGACTGGCAAAGGGCGTGGCCCTGGGAAACCTTTGTCTTGCACTTTGAGCAGGCGCTCGAGTACTGGGCGTAGGGGTTCTTGGCAGCCTTGGAGAGAAGCTTGCTCTTGCCGATGCCGGTGGACCCCATCGTCGGCTTGGAGGAGGACGCCGAAGCGGACGAGGATCCGTGGTAGATTTCGGCCTTTTTCTTGACGGAGGGCGTGGCGAGAGCCGTTGCGCCCTTGCCGAGCTTCTGGCATTTTGTGCAGACCATCGTGGACGGTTCGAGGTGTGGCGTAAGGGGGGGCAGGATGCGTCGTCGTCGTCCTTGAGGGGATGACGGTGCGGAAGGATGCGATGGCGGTCGAAGAGGCGGCGGCAGCGGGAGATGGGATCGAGTCGCGTATGGCTGGCGGCGTCGGGGGTTAAGGCTGAGGGAGGATGGCTGTGGCTTGCAGGAGAGCTGAAGAGAGTGACGCAACACCGCAGGGCTGGAGAGGTTAGTAAGCCAAAGTGCCACAAAACCTTCGCACCGGCCCGTTTTGCCTTCCTTTTGCTTCAGTTTCCCCTTGTGGGTCCGACGACCTGGATTTCAGGGCGGACCTAGCGCCTCGCCGGGGACGACGACAGGCTGTCCGGCTCACTGGCGGTAGCCACAATAGGGGCCCTCCTTTTCTTGCGTGTTTCCTCGCTGTGCATGGACGAGCCAGGACCCCCGACCAAGTTTCTTTAGTGCCACGGGAGAATGCCAGGGCGGCCGTACTACGTACAGTTTGTCTGTACAATCCGGATGGCCGAGAGTGGTGTATCCACAGGTAATAACAGACGATCGGGGGGGAGCAACTGAGGGAAAATTCGAGCGGGAGATGATGCTTAATACCTTCTGTGACGATAACTAGTAGGGGTTCTGATGGGATGGTTGTGGATACAGTATTGGGACGTCCCCGTATCGGCTCACGTCTGAGCGCTTTTGCTGACAAGCAGAGGCGGACCCAGAGTACCTAGCGTAGTATGCACTACCTACCTAGTTTACGTGTAGTGGCGTTGTCAAGGTAGTCAACAGTGACAGTGACGGGTCCCGAGATCTCGTGCGTCTGTCCACGATACTGGGCGATTGATGCAGCTTGTCACAATCCATCCTCGCATTGCCCTGTAAGTCGCAACCTAAACTAGCTACTGTGGCTGGAGGACGACGCAGCCCGCCAACCAGCATACCCAAGACCAAATGGGGGGGAGAATAGACGCGGATGAGATGAGATGCAGCGCAGCACAGCGCAGCACAGCGCAGCTGGTGTCGTGCCCCGGGAGCATCGGCCACTAAAACGCGAATAGCAACAACAAGCCCCATGCCTCCCTCCCCCGGCGGGGCTGGCACTCCACTCCCACCCGCATGCCCAGGCACAACTGCCTGGCAAAGTTGCAAGAGCGAAGGCTCGCAAGATTGCACAGTATAACAAACCAGCAGCAGCCATGCCAGCCGGGACCAGACGTGGGACGGGCCCACTCTCACCTCGCGTACCCCAGCACAGGTACCTAGGTACCTAAGTAGTGTGCCCGGGGTACGAATGCCGGCCTCAGTCTGCTTGCTGCTCACTGCGATTACTGGCCACCTTGGCTCGCCGTCGCAGTCGTCTCGTCGCTCCCTTGTGCTGTCCCCCCTTCGAGCACTGCCAGCACCTCAAACACGACGTTCCGCAGATCCTACCCTTTCGCCGGACGACACCTCACATCACCTCAGCTCTTGGCCCATGTGGTCTCGAAAGGCACCACCTTCAACCTTTGTCTCTGCTTTAGAGACCGCTGCACACCACACCAATCATAGCGACTGCGTTGCTTCGCCCTTTGACTGCATTTCCTGCTCGAATCTGCGGATACCTGACTGCCTCTGCCTTACGAATACAGCGTCAATCAACCTCACCCATCTGGTACCCCCGTTGACGTAGCGCAAGGTCTACTCTACCACCTTGTAATCCTAATCCTCCGCCAGAAGGAGGCTGTGCTGCAACGAATACGGATTGCCGGGTCGCTTCTTTTTTTTTATTTTATTTCTATTTATCCAAAACCACCACCTCAAATCCCACACCAAACGCCCAGCTGCGGCGTCGCTTCCACTGTCGATTGTCGTTGCTGTCGTCGTCATACTGCTGCCGTCGTTCCGAATCTCATACTTTCGACCTGGCCGGCTTCCAAAAAAAAAAAAAAAAAAAAAAAAAAACTTAACCTCGCCCCCCTTTTCGATTCCATCACTCATTCATGTGCCTGGAAATAGTACGACTTTGATCCAACCGCCCCGACTTCGCATGCTGGCCATTTCGAGACTTGCACATTGATCGTCGAGCAACACGCACCCCGTGTCCTCCCCCTGGCATGGCTGGACGTCTGACGGGAGGCCCTCCTGGAGGTCCTTCCAATAATGACCTGCTTCTAGATCTCGACAACGACCAACCCGTCTACAACGGTGGACAGCGATCCGCCGTAACCGACGACGACCTGTCGCGCTACGACCAAGGGCGTCCCTCCGTCTCTTATGACGATTTCGTTGGCGGCGGCGGCGGTGGTGGAAGAGGAGCAGGAGGCGGCAACCACCCTCAGCAATCTTCAGCACCGAGGCCGCTACCTGGAGGTCCCACGTCGCCCGGCGGCAATTCATCCTCCGGCCCCTACATGCAGAGACACTACAGCCAAACATCAGAACTGAACAATTACCAACGGTACGCCGACGACTTCGACGACTACTCGGCCGAGGGCGAATCATATTACCAGCAGGGAGGTGCTGCGGGAAGCGCCAACAATGTGAGAGACTCGTCAGGAAGGGAAAATGCCCGGAACCGTAATAGCGTTCTCAGCCTGGGCGGGGGCTTCTTTGGCCGCATGAAGAACAAAATGGGCATGGGCGAAGGGTATTCGGAGATGGACTTGCCCTTGACGGAGGCGGGCGGCAACGGATGCGCAGACCCGGGCGTCGGCGCGCATGCGAAACAGAGCAGGAAGATGGACATGGGCAACTTCAAATTTGGCTTCGGTCGAAGCAAGCCGGACCCCTCGACTCTAGGCCCGCGAATAATCCACCTGAACAACCCGCCGGCGAACGCGGCGAACAAGTACGTCGATAACCACGTCTCGACGGCCAAGTACAACGTTGCAACCTTCCTCCCGAAATTTCTCTTTGAGCAGTTTTCAAAGTTTGCCAATGTCTTTTTCTTATTCACGGCGGCGCTGCAACAAATCCCCAACCTCTCGCCTACCAACAGATACACCACGATTATCCCGCTCTTCATTGTGATGCTGGTCTCCGCAGGAAAGGAGCTGGTGGAGGACTACCGCAGAAAGCAGGCCGACCACCAGCTGAATACGTCCAAGGCCCGCGTCCTGCGCGGCACCACATTCCAGGAGACGAAATGGATCAACGTCTCCGTCGGAGACATCGTCCGCGTCGAATCCGAGGAGCCCTTCCCGGCCGACCTGGTGCTCCTCGCGAGTTCCGAGCCCGAAGGCCTGTGCTACATCGAAACAGCCAACCTCGACGGAGAGACCAATTTGAAGATCAAGCAGGCCTTGCCAGAGACCTGCACGATGGTCAGCTCCAGCGACATAAGCAGGCTCGGCGGCAGAATCAAGTCCGAACAGCCCAACAGCAGTCTCTACACGTACGAGGCCACCTTGACGATGCAGGCAGGAGGGGGCGAGAAGGAAGTGGCCTTGAACCCCGAGCAGCTCCTGCTTCGTGGTGCTACCCTGCGCAACACTCCGTGGATCCACGGTGCGGTCGTCTTCACCGGACACGAGACAAAGCTCATGCGAAACGCCACTGCCACGCCCATCAAGCGCACAAAGGTCGAAAAGAAGCTGAACGTCCTGGTTCTGGTCCTCGTCGGCATCCTCCTTGTCCTGAGCGTCATCTGTACGGTAGGTGATCTTGTTCAGCGCAAGGTTGAGGGTGACGCCATTTCGTACCTGCTACTCGACTCGACCGGTTCTGCCAACAACATCATCAGGACCTTCTTCAAAGACATGGTCACGTACTGGGTTCTCTTCTCGTCGCTTGTGCCCATCTCGCTCTTCGTCACCCTGGAAATGGTCAAGTACTGGCACGGCATTCTCATCAACGACGATCTCGACATCTACTATGACCGGACGGATACCCCGGCCAACTGCAGAACGTCCAGTTTGGTGGAGGAGCTCGGTATGGTCGAATATGTCTTTTCCGACAAGACTGGCACCTTGACCTGCAACATGATGGAGTTCAAGCAGGCCTCGATCGGCGGCATCCAGTATGCCGAGGACGTGCCGGAGGACCTCAGGGCGACCATCCAGGACGGCGTAGAGGTTGGAATTCACGACTACAAGCGACTGGCCGAGAACCTCAAGAGCCACGAGACGGCTCCCGTAATCGACCACTTCCTGGCCCTGCTGGCTACCTGCCACACCGTCATTCCCGAGAGAAGCGATGAGAAGGGCGGCAAGATCAAGTACCAAGCTGCCTCGCCCGATGAAGGTGCCCTTGTCGAGGGCGCCGCCCAGCTCGGCTACGTCTTCACCGATCGCAAACCGAGGTCCGTGTTCATCGAGGCAGGAGGACGCGAGCTCGAGTACGAGCTCCTGGCCGTATGTGAATTCAACTCTACCAGGAAGCGTATGTCGACCATCTACCGATGCCCCGATGGTAAAGTCCGCGTCTACTGCAAGGGTGCCGATACTGTCATCCTTGAGCGCCTGAACGACCAGAACCCGCACGTCGAAGCCACCCTGCGCCACCTGGAAGAGTACGCCTCCGAGGGGCTCCGCACGCTCTGCCTCGCGATGCGCGAAGTTCCCGAACAAGAGTTTCAGGAATGGTTCCAGATCTTCGAAAAGGCCAGCACCACCGTTGGCGGCACCCGTGGAGAGGAGCTGGACAAGGCCGCCGAGATCATTGAGCGCGACTTCTACCTTCTCGGAGCGACCGCCATCGAGGACCGTCTCCAGGACGGTGTTCCAGAGACCATACATACTCTCCAGCAGGCAAGCATCAAGGTGTGGGTGTTGACGGGTGATCGCCAAGAGACCGCCATCAACATCGGCATGAGCTGCAAGCTGCTGAGCGAAGATATGATGCTTCTGATTGTCAACGAGGAGAGCGCGGAAGCGACGCGCGACAACATCCAGAAGAAACTCGACGCCATACGGACTCAAGGCGACGGCACGATCGAAACGGAAACCCTGGCTCTCATCATCGATGGCAAGTCCCTGACCTACGCCTTGGAAAAGGACCTCGAAAAGCAGTTCCTCGACCTGGCCATCATGTGCAAGGCCGTCATCTGCTGCCGTGTCTCCCCCCTGCAGAAGGCTCTCGTCGTCAAGCTGGTCAAGAAGTACCAGAAGGAGTCCATTTTGCTCGCCATCGGTGACGGCGCGAACGACGTCTCCATGATTCAGGCCGCCCACATCGGTGTCGGCATCAGCGGCATGGAGGGTCTTCAGGCCGCCCGAAGCGCCGACGTCTCCATCGGCCAGTTCCGGTATCTCAGGAAGCTGCTATTGGTGCACGGCGCTTGGAGCTACCAGCGCGTTGCCAAGACCATTCTCTTCTCCTTCTACAAGAACATCACGTTGTACATGACGCAGTTCTGGGTAAGTCTGCTAGGGTCTTGCCACGCAGTTCGTGTTGCTAACTCGACCAGTACACCTTCCAAAACGTCTTCTCTGGGGCGGTCATTTACGAGTCATGGACGCTGTCCTTCTACAACGTCTTTTACACCGTTTTGCCTCCCCTCGCCCTGGGCATCCTCGACCAGTTCATCTCGGCAAGGCTTCTCGACCGCTACCCGCAGCTGTACACCATGGGCCAGCAGAATCAGTTCTTCAAGCTCAAGATTTTCGCCGAGTGGGTTGCCAACGCCGTCTACCACTCCATCATCCTCTACGTCTTCTCGGAGCTCATCTGGCACGGCGACCTGATCCTGGGCGACGGGGAAATCGCCGGCCACTGGGTTTGGGGCACGGCGCTCTACGCTGCTGTCCTTCTCACCGTCCTTGGCAAGGCGGCCCTGATCACGAACAACTGGACCAAGTACCACGTCATCGCCATTCCCGGCAGTATGCTCTTCTGGTGGGGCTTCATCGCCCTTTACGGTACCGTCGCGCCCATGATTCCCTTCTCGGCCGAGTACCACGGTGTTATCCCCAAATTGTACAGCAGCCCCGTTTTCTGGTTGCAGACGATCTCGCTGGCGGTCATGTGTCTCCTGCGAGACATTGCATGGAAGTTCGCCAAACGCATGTACATGCCGCAGACGTACCACCACATTCAGGAGATCCAGAAGTACAACATTCAAGATTACAGACCAAGGTATGCAGATGCCCGCCCTGTCATCTTCCTCGCAGTAACCCGCTAACACATTCCAGAATGGAGCAATTCCAAAAGGCGATTCGCAAGGTGCGCCAAGTCCAGCGCATGCGCAAGCAGCGCGGCTACGCGTTCTCCCAGGCAGACGAGAGCCAGACAAGGGTGCTTCAGGCATACGACACTACCCAACACCGTGGGCGGTACGGCGAGATGGCCAGCTCGAGACCTCTAAGCAGATAGCTGTGCCGCTCCCCTTTACTCTTTGTTTTATACCACTGCTGCTGTCACCTACCGCCGCGTGCCAGCCAGGGCATGGCAAGAGGGAACGCGAAGCCTATGATGATTACGACTCGAAAGGAGGAGGGCCGGCTGCGTTGATTTTGGTTCTTGGGAAGGGCTTATCCCCAAACGCAATGGTAATGCCAACGGCAGCGACGACAGCACGATGTAAAGTTTTTGTCTTTTTTTTTTTCTTTTTCACCTTTACTATTATTATATGCATGGTCGGGGACCTTCCCCGTCATCCGGGGAGGGGATATTTCTCAATGAACTGGCGTTTACAGAGCCATGAGAATGGCTTGTCTGTTGTACAACTCTATGCTGGCTTTCTTCTTCACCTTTTCAATTCTTTCGTGTGGTTCAATCCCCCCCCCCCCCCTCGACGGTTCACCCCCCTGAACGATACGCTCTGAAAGCACATTGGACGATCAGGCTGTAGGGAGTAGCGTTATTTGGGTATGCGTCGAGAGACGCAGAGAGAGAGGAAACGACGTGTGGCGACGGACAGGAGAACAGTCACAACTGCGGCAGGTCCGAGAACAGGGGCATGCAGACAACAACCCAGTGTTAAACGTAGGTGGAATGAAGAAGAAAAAGAACGTTTGTGTTTGAACCCCAACCCTCCTCCCTTTTTCCCAAATACCTCTCTGCTTTTTTTTTCTTCTTGTTTTCTACTTGTCTACCTACCTAGGATGGTGGCAGTGGGGCGGCGGGCGTTCTTTTTGGTAGCATGCACCGCAGATGACGAATTGACTTGGCAGCATCTCCCGCACCTCTGTCTCGACCATTGCCTCGGTGTTGATGTGTAAGTGGGCGCGCGCATGTATACGACGAAGCCCGTACGTTTCGAAACAACAAACCGACAGCTCGGAACAAACTCACGTGGCGCTTACTTGCCGAGCAGTAAGACAAAACAAGAGAAATAAAGCTGTCATATTGATAACTAAAAACTCATCCTCTGACCGCTCGTCTTTTTTGACCGACCTGGGAGGAGGGGGAGAGGGGGGGTGCGGGCGTTGGCATGAACTATGGACACGAAGAGAAACAACATCCACCGCTTACGTGAAGCACTCCTAGTCCATCGCGAAGCGGTCGGTGAATCTGAACGTAGCCAGGCCATCCTTGAAACCGGCCACCACTGTGTTGACGTCTGGGGACGAAAAGACGCCTCCGCCGGGCCTGACCCCGAGCGCGGCCGAATCGGACAGGGGCTTGCCGACACTGCCGACGGGCTTGCCCCATCTATACGAGTCGATAACCAGCTGCGCCGGGCGGCCTGCCGGGTACAGCGCAGATGGCTTGATGGTTCCGTCAAACAGGCCCTGCGCGCCATTGGCGACGATGACGCCGTCGAACGCGGTGGCGTCTGCCTGGGAGTATGTCATGTCGACGCCGTTGCCCAACCTCTCGCCGATGACGGTCACTGGGACGCCGCTGGCGGCAAAAGCGTCCTTCAACACCTTGCCCTGAGCCACGGAGCCGTCGGCCGCCAGACTCGCTAGCACGCCGACCCTCAGAGTGGCGATGGTGGGCAGCCTCTCGCCGAAGATGGAGATGCCTTTGGTGGTGTTGTTGTGGTAGAACTGCGGGTCGGGCTTCGGCTTTTCGAGACCCAGGGCGTCGGCAACGCGGCCCGCAACCTCGTTGGAGACCTTGTTGAGCTGGGCGACCACGTTTTTCTTGACATCGTCCGATTCGATGTGGCTGGTCTCGAAGCGGATGGCATTGACGAGGAACTGCTGCTCGATGGGTGTCAGGGAGTTGTAGAAGAGACGCGGCTGGGACCAGTGGTCCGAGAAAGTGCCCGAGATCTCGCGGACCAGGGTGCCGCCGACGCCGCGCCCTGGCGTCGTGAAGAAACCGTTGCCTTGGGCCTGGTTCGCCTGTTTAGGTAGGCCCTTGTTCAGGGCGTTTGGAAAGTCTGTCCCGGTTAGCAGGGCCCGGTGGAAGCTTGGAACGGCCACTGACAGGAGTTCCGGTTGCGATGGATGAAGTTCTGGGCGGCGCCGTCTCGGTTGTTGTTGTGGATGGGGGTGACCGGGCGGTTGATCGGCAGCTGCTCAAAGTTGGGCCCGCCGTGACGGTTGATCTGAGTGTCTAGGTACGAGAAGATGCGGCCCTGTAGCAGGGGGTCCTCGGTGAAGTCGATGCCCCTAACGATGTGTCCGGGTTGGAACTACCACGGGTCAGCTGCGGTTGCATCTGAGGCCTCGGGGGAGCAGAGCGACGTACCATAATTTGCTCAGTCTCGGCAAAGTAGTTGACAGGGTTGGCGTCCAGCTTCATCTTGCCGAGCTTCTGAAGGGGCGCGATCTCCACGGGCACAATCTTGGTGGGGTCCAAGAGGTCGAAACCGAACTTGAGAGCGTCCGACTCGTCAAGAACCTGAACTGCGAGCTCCCACTCGGGGCCATTACCCGATGCAATGGCGTCAAAGAGATCCTGACGGTGGAAGTCGGCGTTCTTCCCAGAAACGATTTGGGCCTCCTCCCAGACCAAGCTGGCCTTGCCCTGCAGCGTCTTCCAGTGCCACTTGATGAGCTTGGATTTGCCGTCGTTCGTTACCATGCGGAAGGTGTGCACGCCGAAGCCGTCCTGACAGCGTTAGCCAATGTTGGGTGAAGTGAGCGAGGAGTGCACCCACCATGTGTCGATAGCTCCTCGGGATGCCGTAGCCGGCCATCGCCCAGAACAAGGTGTGGAGGGAGCTGGTCTGAGAGCTGAAGAAGTCCCACGCAGAGTCGTGGGCCGTGGCGGCCTGGGGGATCTCATTGTCGCCGCGCGGTTTCCTATGGGAGTCGTGTTGTGAGCTAACGTCTAGGCTGGGCGAGGCGGGGCGTGTAAGCTCTTACACTGCGTGTACCAAGTCTGGGAACTGGATAGCGTCCTGGATGAAAAAGACGGGAATGTTGTTTCCAACGATGTCAAAGTTTCCCTGGTCGGTGAAGCTGTCGTCATCGTCATCGTCGTCAACGTCAGTCCATGCTACAGCACCTCACGCAGGTAGATACCCACAATCTGGTGGCGAAGCCATGCACATCTCTCGCCGTATCGGCGCTTCCTCTGGAACCAGCAACGGTAGAAAAACGCACAAAGGTGGACGTGTTCTTGCCCGCGGCACTCAGAAATGAAGCGGCAGTGAGGTTGCTGAAGTCGCCGTAGCTCGTAAAGGTGCCGTAGGCACCGGCGCCTCGGGCATGGACGGCTCGCTCAGGGACCTAGGGGCAAAGAGGGTCAATCAGGATGGATGGTCAACGGAGCGAGGGTATCCCGCGACGTACTCTCTCGTGGTCGAAATGGGTAATCTTCTGGCGGAAGATGAAGTCCTCGAGCAGAGTCGAACCTCGGACGCCGGCCTTCAAGCTCACCTGGTCCCCTATGGGACCGCCGACGTCGGATGTGAGGAACGGGTCGCCCAAAATGTCGTCAACTTCGTTGCCCACGACATGCGAGCGGGAGCCGCCACCTTCGGCTCGGGCTCTGATGTTGGAGGGATCTGCAAAGGGACAATTCGCAGAAGAAAGGGTTGCCAGGCCGAGACCGGCCAGCAGGAGGGTCGTATGCATATTGCAACGAGCTATCGGCAATGCCGTGTTGACTTCTTGGAATGTATCTCTTGCCAGGCGTTATGGGACTAGGTAGACCGAGCAAGCTTTATCCTTCTGCCTTGGCTTTGGATAGGTAGGGAAGGAGGATGACCGAGGGCCGTTGTGAAAGGGAAGACCCAAGAGACGGGAGGCTACTTATGTGCATCAGAGGTTTGCGTGGCTGGCGGAGCTCCAGCCGAGCTACCTACAGATCTGGGACGAAAAGAGACGACGGTCCCTGCAAAGGCCTGGATCAGAAAGAAAAAGCTACGCGTATCTGTGCACAGGCTCAAGGATAACCATTTCTGGATGACGACCAGGGGCAGGAGTGCTTCATCCGGCCGAAGCACAATAGTACTTTCTCCCCAGAGCAGAACCGCATCCACATACCGGAGACGAGCACTGCGCATCGCATCACCTTCTGCTCGCAAACGCGTTGCATTGGTCAACAGGTAAACCTACCAGGCACGGAGGTTGCGCCCTCCCCCCCCCCTTTTTCTTTCCGCAAGGATAGTGGGTGAGGGTTGGAGCAGGAGTACCGCTAGAAACAGTAGGTAAGAGGGTGTGGGTACAAACGTTGTCAGATTAGACAACTCGTCGTTTGATTTATCCATGCGACGTCCGCCACTCCCGAGAGTCCGATGCTGTACGCTGGGGCGCTCGACTTGGCTGCATTCTGTGCCTGAAGGTTGAGGACGACAAGTATACTTCTTTTGTGCGACGGGATGTCAGCCAGCAACCCAAAGTTACTAAGATCTCATTTTCCTCACGAGCATAAGTCTAGCTTTGATAAAATAGGATGAAACAATCTGCAATGTCCAAGCAACCATGTGACAAAGCAAGGTAGAGTGTGGATAGCTACCTCAGCAGTGTAGGTACTGAGTAGAGGTTGAGATATCGGATAACGTCCTTTGACTCAGCCCACCCATTTTTGTGTTTTCTTCTTCTTTTACCGTCGCCCACGATGTGAAACGATCTAGATAGCTACATGAGCTGGAGGAGGTTAAAATGTGCCAGAGGTCGGTCCGTGGTATGGGGTGGAGCTACAGCAACTGGACGGGCCTAGCTAAATCAGTCAGTGAGCAATATGCATTTGCAGAGCATAAAGTAGACGTGGCTGTGGAGATCGCAGCCAGCGACATCTACTGCTGTCTAAGAAAGCAATTGATGTCATCTCCCCAAGCTTATGAGACGTCTGTGTGCCCCAAAAAGAGCGTGGCGCTTCTTTCAAGGGCATCATCTCGTTTCTTTTTTTTTTTTTTTTTTTTTTTTTTTTTTTTTTTTTTTTTTTTGCTTTCCCTGCTATTTCTTTCTTTCTTTCTTTCCTTTGTGTTTCTTTTTCCTTTTTTTTCTTCTTTTTGGCCCAGTAACCCCGATGCGAGGCAAATGCAGACCACGCGAGCGATCGCGCTGTCTCGTGGGATTTGTGCGACAGGCAAAGGGGGGGGGGGGGGGGGGGGGGGTGGAAAACGGGGGGCAGGTAGTGAGAGAGAGAGAGAGAGGCTGGGCATCCAGCATATCACGGTTACATGCGTTCGGCGGCATCAAACCTTGAGCAGCAAGCCTTGGCGGGGTTCCCGGCGTTGCTTTCCCACACTCCCTCTCACGTTCAAGACGAGAAAAAGTCGTGGCTATCGAATTCAGTTGTGATTGAGAGACCTCGTTCTGGGTCAAGACCGGGCGATCTGTGCTCAGATGGCACGTCCCCCTCTCCGAAGAGCCCTCCCCGAGAAGAGCGTTTCTGATGGGTCGGGGTCGGCTCAGATGCAGGCGAATGCGGCAGAGAGTTGCACATCCCGGATGTAGACCCAATCTCCGGCGCTTGGGTTGAGAGAGGAAAAGAGCGCGAGTGTGCCTGAGTGAGAGGTTGAGGTTGATGAGGGCTCGATAATGCCAAGCTATCGGCGTCATCGGGTGGGGCTGTTCCTGTGGGGCCGCGCCATCGGTGATCAGCCAGAGGAAAGGAAGAAATGGGCCCTGTACTTGGTACACCACGGTAATACAAATCATATCAGTCGAAGCGAAGGTCCGTGGTCGGGGGCCGGGTGTGACAACGGGATGGTTACAACGCAGCCTTGCACCCAACAGTTCCCGCTCCTTGACGAGTGTCCCGGGGTTGGGGTTCGCCTAGGCTAGATAGACGGTCGCGGGCCCCAGGATCAATGTACGTATCAGAATGATACCTTGCATGGCATGAGGACAATGCCGGAGGATTCTTTTCGTTTCTTATCAACGGGCAGGAGGCAAACGACCAGGGAGCGCCTTCTCGTTCTGACACAAAGGGACGGGTCGGCGCTTCTCCGGGCGGCGGCGGCGGGAGGAGAGGCGGGATATGAGACATGGACGTTGAAGCCGCTCACTCTGTGTACCAACAGGCGCAAACAATGTGGTTTTGCTTGCGCGCCGTGGTTGTTTTAGTGCACATAAGGGAAGTAGGTAACGTACACGATAACCCTGTTGCTAACAACCTCTTCCTCCCCAGGGCGAATCCCGGCTCGAGTTGTTCTAGACAGCCTAGTGTGCTGCAGTAATCCAGATAACGTTGGAAGCGGGGTCCATCACAAGCCGTCCAAACGCCTTGGAGGTTAGGACGAAAGGAAACGAATCTGAGCAAAGTTGCGAGGGGGGCGGCTGCTGCAGCCCAGCGGTTCGCTGAGGGGCTGGAAGTATAATGTGGTCTACGGATACGGATAGTTCGCATAAATAAACTATCACGGTACCTACTGTGTACGTACACTACAGCCGTCTCGGATATATCGTCGAATATCGAGTGATTGACCAGCGCTTCCTTGCTTGCACCTACTAAGGACGACAGGCGGCCGCCCAATTATGTACGGCCTGCCAATCGCGGATGCCGGAACAGCAAACGACATGATTTGTGCACTGGCAGCAATCGCAATTGCCAGCATGCATGTAATCGCATCGTAATTGAATGTAACTCTGGATATATCCCCTCCTCTGGTCTTATTTATAGACGTGTGATGCCGCCTGACGAGCCAAGCCAAGGTTCGCCTGGCCCGACCTCCTCGATCCAGCCGGCCACTCGGGTGACAAAAAACGGTACATCTTATTTACACACCCACCACCAAAAAGTGTTCTGTTTTCTGCCACCCGAGTGCCGGCTTCCACCCCCCAAACATTACGGAATGGCGGGGAAACAGGTCACCATCTCCTCCGGAATTGCTTCTTCCACCTTGAATCGAGACCGCTCGCGTCCGCCCGGTGTGTCAAGAGGTGCCAATTTCGCAAAAAGCAAACCTCGCGGCGATTTGCCAAGCCGATAAAGAGGGAGAAACTGCTGACCGCTCTACCTGGGCCCTTTTTGTCAAATGTAAGCGATGAGGAAATGCTGACGTCGGGCGAGACCCCGGTTCGCCTTGCCTTGCCAGTGGGCCTCTGCTCCGAATCTGTGACGAGTCGCGGCCGATTTGTGGGTCCTGTACAGAAGCGAGACCTTCCGGGACAGCCTGTCGGGGTCGAAGCCATTGAGGTGTTTCCATTAGCTGCATGGTCCAACTAGACATGGCTGGGCTGCACGTGCGGGTGGTATCCAGATTAAGCCAGGCCTGGCAGATACCATTACAATCCGTCGTCGGTGTCTTCACCGGAAGCTATAAACGGTTTCAACGGGTGTGATAGCATGCCACCGATCTCGTCAGTAGAGTCGGACAGCATTCGATCCATCACAGTGAGCTATGGCTGGCCCGCCGCAGCAGACATCACGCCATCGCATCACATGCATCTCGGGAGTCCAGAATTTACTTCTGTGGCCAGGCTCCGATGGTTCGTGATATGTTTCGCCGTCGAAACTGTCTTAAGATGGCATCGAGACTATTTTATCGCGAGGCCAGTTGTGTGGCTTAGCTTGCTTGCTACCCATCCGCACCGAAGCCATTTTGTTTGTAACAAATAGGCTCGAGCCCAACCCCCTTGTTCAGGCGCGAACCGTATCGTCTCAACGACACTGGCAGGAATCACATTCGTGCTTCTCAACCGTCGGTGTGAGTTGGCTGCGGCTTAACAGACGAGGGTGCGTCTCGAGAGCCGCTTCGTGACGAGATGGGGCCATTTGTAGACCACGTCGCTCCGCTTCGACAGCGATAGCAACGCCACTGATGATAGCGCCGAGTCGATGAACCTAATTACACAAACTGAGGACTCGGCGTGCTCGCCTACCCACTATGTTAGTGACGTCTCCGCATCAGCCTGCCGAAGCGCTGAGAGGAGACTCCAGCTTGGTCGGCCTGCGCAGAGCAGTTGGCATCTCCTCGGAGAATGTTGGTTTGCCAATGATGGCTGGCACACTTGACAGTCACACGATATCCGAACAGTACAGAAACAGAGTTGATACATGGGAGACTGGATCGTATTGGCGGGGTCTTGCTTAAGTTCATTCATTGCTTTTGGTGTAAATGAGATCCTAGCTCAATGGCATCCCACTGGTATCGGCCACGGCTACCCCAATTAGCCCCCTCAAACTCCAAATGCCCCATGACCCTTTTTTTCCATGTAAAAAAAAAGACTTTTTTTTTTTTTTTTTGGGTTCCGACTCCCTCGCTTAGTAGAAGAAACCAATGACCTTGCCGGCCACGTGCTTGCGGCGAGCCTCCTCGTGGTCCATGATACCGGCGGAAGTGGTGAGAACGACGTAGCCGAACTGACGGGCAGGGAGCAGCTTGACAACCCACTTCTCGAGGTCGGCGAGGCGGACGTTGTAGCGGGGAGAGATGACACCGCACTTGTTGAGACGGCCGTTGAGCTGGACGACGATCTTGCCAGAGCGGTGGTCGTCAATGTACTCGTACTCGCCGATGTAGCCTGAATAAAACTTATCAGCATGCTGTTGCGGCGGTTTAAAGCTTAGACATCACAAATTGTAATCCGAAAAAGTTGTAAGACCTCCGCAGTTTGATCTATCGGCAATTTATAGGGGCTGAGTCGTGGGGAAGAGAGAGACGTTCGCCCTAGTTATCATGCCGAATGTACATTCCCCCCAGGTGTCCACCAAAGAAAAGAAGAAGTAAAGGGGTGTGGCAGATGCTTCTACATACCGTGACGCTGCATGACGCTGAGGAACTTGATGATGACCTTGGAGCTAGGGCGGATAAGGACCTGGCGCTTGCCGGCCTTCTCGGCGTTGTTCATGCTCTTGAGGGCATCGTGGAGGACGGAAGTGCGGACCATCTTGACGGTTGGTGAATGCGGAGATTCTCAAGTCTCTGGAAATGAGGTATCTGCCAGAAGAAAGTGGTGCATGTTAGCCTCCCGAGGCCTAGTGAGCGTGGAGAGTGCCCTCCCAGGCGAGCATCGACCAAGAGGAGGGTTCTGCCAGCTCGTTGCTGAAGAGGAGAGCGTATCAGAGATCATTGTCGACGGCGGCGTAGAGCAGCACGGTCGCCCGGTCGGCAACATCGAGATCGGAACAAGGTAGTCGCATTCTCGGCATTGCGCACGCGACTCGTCTGATTGCTCTCCTCCGGCATCAAGGAAAGGGCAAGAGTTCCTGCTTGGATCAAGCTACCATGATGGTGCGCATGGTTTTTTTGTCTTTCTTTCCCACTTACCTCGTGGAATGAACGGTGCCGGTGAAGGGTGGATTGGCAAGCTTGTCGGTGAGGGAGTGAAACTGGGAGAACGAGAGCAGGCAAATATTTTTTTCTATGCCGTCGATGCGGAAAAATGTGGCCGAAAATCAAATTCGGACCTTGTGGGTGGTCCGTGCGCGTGCCGAAATTTGCCCTGTCGACCCCACCCTCCAGCCAATGATCTCTGGCACACAAACGACGGAACCTCTGTCTTTCGCCTTACCGCGACAAAAAAAGTTCACTTTATTCTACACTACCCATATAACTACACAACACCACTCTTCGAGGATCGAACCGACAGGAACTTGACCGCAAAACTTTCAAGATGGTGAGTTTGCGTCGTGCACTCTTGCGACATCCCCAGCCGAGCCGGATTTCTCTGTTGCCCGCCTAAATCCCCCCAATCCATTTTGGAGATGGCGGGCGGCGCGAAATTTTGCGAGAGCGCGCAATAGGGCCAATTGGACCTCCCCCCCTCCCCTCCCTCTATGAAGGGGACAGGCACACGACGCCTTGGGCCTTCGAGAACCAGCATCGCTAACTGCGCGCTCCCCACAGTCGGACGTAGAAGAGAACAACGCCCCCGAGGTGGCCGAGGAGGTCGAGGTTTCCGCCGATGCTGGCTCCAAGGGCCAGATGTCCGTTCTTGACGCCCTCAAGGGTGTCCTGAAGCTCGCTCTCATGCACGACGGTCTCGCCCGCGGTCTCCGCGAAGCCTCCAAGGCTCTCGACCGCCGCCAGGCCCACATGTGTGTCCTCAACGAGGCGTGCGAGGAGGAGGCCTATAAGAAGCTCGTCATCGCCCTCTGCTCCGAGCACAAGATCCCCCTGATCAAGGTGCCCGACGGCAAGCAGCTCGGCGAGTGGGCTGGTCTCTGTGAGTACCAACCAGGGCGTATTGCTGAGAGGCCGGTGGACAACGGCTAACCACAGACAGGCGTTCTCGACCGTGAGGGCAACGCCCGCAAGGTCGTCAACTGCTCTTGCGTCGTCGTCAAGGACTGGGGTGAAGAGTCCCAGGAGCGCTCCATCCTCCTCAACTACTTCCAGACCGAGCAGTAAATTTGGGAATGCTTCATGATTTGAATTTGGGCGTCACTTGAGGGGAGAAGGAAATAGAGGGTTGGCGGGGAATTTATTTGGAACCGCCGCTTACGAACGAATCTTTCGGTTGTACTCTAACTTCTTCAGCTGGCATCTGGAAACAAAAAAATGGAGGACTCCCTCTGGAAGTCGGGTTATCTTACACGATGGCAAATAAAAGAGAAACGGCATTGGGCACTCTTGAACCATTTTCAACCGCTGGCACGCGAATATGTGACTTGATGATGCTATGGACGAGACCGGAATCGTCGTCTCCCCTCATTTCCTTCCCTCGACCTAGGCTCGGGTTAGTGTGCGTTGTGGGGCCCACGGCGGTTGTCGCCGACACTCACCATGATGATGTGGTAACCAAACTCAGTCTTGGCCTCGCCGTAAACCGGACTCGCAGTCGTGCTCGTGCTCAGGGCAAAGGCAACATCCTCGAACTTGGGGTCTAGGCTGCCCTTCGTCTTCCAGCCAAGGGAGCCGCCTGTGCGACCATCAGCATGCCGTGCCGTGCCCTCATCATCCAATGAGTTGGTTCCCTGTTGACGCTCACCTTGCCTCGCTTTGTCCTCGGAGAACTCTCTCGCAACCTCATCGAATTTGGTTCCGTCTCTCAGCTTGGCCAGGGCCTCCTCCTTCTTCGCATGCTTCTCGCACTGGGAAACGCTTGTCAGACTGCTTCCTCGCCAAGTCTTCAGTAAAGATGCTATCCTCACCAGGATGTGCCGGACGTTGATGGACTGAGCGCCCTTGGCCGCCTTGCCGCCCTTGTCATCGCCCTCGCCCTTACCGCCCTTCTTGCCACCGGCGGACTTACCGGCGTCCTTCTTGTCTGCAGGCTTCTTGTCGTTCTTGCCCATCTTGGCTGCGCGGATTTCGGGGATGATGTGATGAAAAATGAGCTCGTAGGTGATGGTGGGGGGTTTGCTCCTGCGCAAACACTCTCCGAGCACCCCACCAACGGGGACCCTGCCAGCGGCGGAGGGGCGCGCGACCAATGAAGTGCGGGAGACCTGACCTCAGCACCTCGGCCGCCGCTGTCGTCTAAACGTCTTGCACGCAACACTGATTTATCAGCAAAAAGGAGTTCGTGAAGCTGTATTGTTACGCCGCTTACCAAAACACCCTACAATTTGCACCAATCCTGCTCTCATACAGCGCGCCGTCACATCAGAAAGGGACCAGTTACCTCTATTGACTACAGTCGCCGGCGCCTGTCTCGGAGTCTTACTCGTCACCTGTGTCTTTTCTTGGACAACATGGCACTCCATCCCCAAGAGAAATTATTCTTCCGACTGAGACTGCGGAACAGGAGAGTTTGCTATTGTGTTGTTTCTCGAACAAAAAAATGTGAGGGCCTAGCTTCTTTCTCATCACTTGGACGTCTTAGGAAGGAAGAGGAGAAAACCTCAGGCCTACCAAGATAATGCGTGGCCAACTACCCGCGCCCTGCGGCACTTGTAGACTGCTTGAATAGGATCCCAGCGCGACATCCCGCGCTCAGGATCCACAGGTTCCATCTCGAGAAGCGAGTCCTCATTGCATTGAACAACTCGTCCTTGCTTCCTGCCTTCTCCAGTTCCTCCTCGAAACCCTTGACGTAGTCCTTCGTGCCTTTCAGCATCGACATCGCAACCGCCTCATCTGGCTCCGACATGGGCTCGAACGTATGCCCGGGGACGACCATCCGCGGCTTCAGCGCCTCGATCTGCGCCACTGCCTCCATCCATCCATTCCGTTTTTCTTGCGTGTCCGCCTCGCCGAGCCACTGGTGACAGTCGCCGTTGTATACAATGTCACTCGCGACAACGAGCCCTAGGTCGGGCACGTGGAGGTAGGAGTTGGCATGCGTATCTCCGTGCGGCACGTCGTAGGCCTTGACGAGGTGGCCGTCCAGGTCGATTTCGTTAGACGGTGGCAGGGACACGAACTCGGCCTTCGCCTCGGGCATGCCAGTGCCTGCTGTTTTGCTGGGAGGGAAAGTCCCCTCCCAAATCTCTTTGTAGGTTTGGGCAGAGTATTGCTGCGCAATACCCTCGACAACGCTCTTGGTTCCGGTGGCCGAGACGTTTGGGAAGGTGGTCTTCAGGACAGGGAATCCAAAAAAGTGATCTCCGTGTGCATGCGATGCGACGAAGTGCTTCAGGACACAGCCAGGTGGCAGCGTAGATCGAACCCACGATGCCAGCTCATTTGTCGCATCCACGCTCGGAGGACAGTCTACCAGAACGGCGGTGGTAGGGGTGTATATCAGCGTGCAGCAGAGCGGTGACCAGTAGCCCGAGTCTTTGGACGATGGGTCGGGCGAGACGAGGCCGGTTGGGATTGGACGACATAAATAGACCGCGACCTGAATTGCCATGTCTGCGACTGTATTGGTAGCTTTGATGTTATAGGTGTCCGAGTTGAAAGAGCAGATGATGAGATCATAGTTGATTGCAAAATCACAGTAGGCTACCTGTGTCTATATCACCCGAGGATGCATCATGGATTTGATGCCGTGTCGGACGTAGCCTGGTATAGTCGTCCATATCAGTAATCATGATTACATTACCGTAGGACTGGATGTATTCTACCTGCAGTCTGTAATATCTATCAACGTGTCCGGGAACATGGCGTAATGCCGAGAGTAAGATAGCCAATTTGCTACAATGCGAGAACAGATCAACTGACAGAACGGTTGCAGGAGATGACAGCGCTTGGCCAGGTATGGGTGCGGCATCACTAAGCAACTTCTGCGATAGGAAATGTTCACTAATCCATAAAAACTTCCCATAGTCAGCAACGCTGCTTACAAAGGTGCACTTGCGATGGCTTCATTGCCATGCGATCTCTCACCAAGGCATAGAATATAAGTAAAGGTGACCGGTAGGAATGAATATGTGGTTTTTGTGTAAAAGATAACCTCACGAACAATCATAGCAAAATCCAAACGTCACTCCAACCACCACCAAAGCAGATCATGGCCCTGTCTCATATCAAGAATGTGTTAGTCGTTGGGGCGAGTGGAAGTGTCGGCGGACCAACAGTCAAGGCTCTGCTCGAAGAAAACTTCCAGGTCACTGGACTGACTCGACAGTCGTCCTCGGCCACCTTGCCTGAAGGCGTGAGGCATCTCACGACCGACTTCTCCGAGGCGTCCCTTCTCGAAGCCTTCAGGAACCAGGATGCTGTCGTCAGCGCAGTCACCAGTTCTCAGTCCGACGCTCTGATGCTCCAAAAGACCCTGGTCGATGCGGCCATCGCGGCGAGGGTCAAGGTCTTCGTGCCCTCCGAGTACGGGATCGACACCGCGGACGGCACCGCGCCCAAGTACGTTCCGGCCCTCGCTGACAAGATCGAGGTGGTCAAGTACCTCAAGGAGCGGCAGGACAAGATATCGTGGACGGCCATCGTCACGGGGGCCATTTTCGACTGGGGGCTGAACTTACCAGGCTTCGGGGGCTTGAACGTGACCGCCCGGACCGTCACCATCTTCGACGGCGGCGATATCCCCTTTGACGCCACGAACCTGGACCAGGTCGGCAAGGCCATCGCCAAGACCTTGAAGAGGCCGGACCTCACACGAAACCAACACGTCTACGTGAACAGCTTCACAGCCACGCAGAACAAGGTTCTGGCGGCTCTGGAGAAGGCGACGGGCGACAAGTTCGCCGTCTCTCAGGGTTCCGTGGAGGAGTTGTGGCAAGGGGGGCTGCACAGCTGGAGCAGGGCCAGCCGCTCGGCATCCTAGCGATGATTGCCGGAGCCTTGTACGGAAAGGGGGGGTTGGCTTACTTCTCGACCACGAAGGGACTTTGGAATGAGAGACTGGCCTTGCCGCAGGAGGATCTGGACGAGTTTATCGGCAATTACATACGCGGAAAGAACTGAGATGAACCGCATACGGACTAGAATTATGATATGGATCAGTCATGTAGATGAGGGTAGGTCAGCCTAGTGCAGACCTTGAAGAGACTTAATCAGAAGCACCTATTGGTAATTTACTTGTGTCCTTTTCTCGGTTTTCTGACAGAGATATCAGAACCGACGAAAGTCCATAGCCCGTCCATTTGGTGAGAGCATAGGCCGAATCGCAGACGAGCACAATTACGCAACCTTCTATCTTCCGGCAGGAAGCAGCCCTTATAAAGCCTGCACTGGTGGATGCCGGCCTTGATGACTGGCTCGATCTTTCTACTACCGACCGCACAGAGGATCCACACGCTACCAACGCCCAGTTACCCGCTCCTTATCCTCGCGTCTCCGGAATTAGTCTGTAGGCGCAGCCATTCGAATGATACCTGGAAAATTTCTCGAAAAGCGCAGAGCTACCGGGGATTCCTGACCTTGTGGTCCACACCATCTAGCACCAATATACGCGGCTCTGTTTGGACTGGACATGGCAGAATTGAAGAACGACAAGTTCTTGAGTCGCCTCAGGCGGGCAGGGATCTAAGCCGTTGGCATTGCGCTGTTAGGTACTTTCCATGTCGACGGGTACAGCACTACGGAGCCGGCTAAGGTCTCCCAAGACTGGGGAGTGGTATGATGCGTTTCTATTATACTCCCTTCTCTACCTACGAAGCTGGTGATCTCTTGGGGGCCTTATCTAGTGGCACACCTGGCGAATGATACAGCGACAAACATCTCTAGACTTACTCCGTATACTTCTCTTTCGAAAGGGAATGCGACAAGTGATGGGCCAT